ATTAATATATCGTCCCGTGTGCAAAATGACTGACACCAGCTCCGCCTCAGAAATGGCTATTACCTTGCAACTCCCCACCTTCTGGACTCATCATCCTGTTCCATGGTTCGACCACATCGAAGCTATGTTCGCACTACGAAATATACACTCACAAGAGACTAAGGTGAACCTGGTTATCGTTAGTCTTCCTGAGAACGTCATGGAAGAAGTATCTGATGTCCTCGCGGACCGATCCCCGGGCTTGTACGAGCGTCTCAAGCAGGCGCTAATTAAGCGCGTTGCACTTACCGACCAACAGAAAGTGCAGGAATTATTCAGAGATGTCCAGCAATCGGGAAACCAGTAAGCCAGCACGTATTGGCGACTAACGTCGCTGGCGAACCACTTCCATGTCGCCTCTTCTATGTTACCGCCCGTAACACTGGGACACGCTTCCCGGTTGACACTGGGGCGGAAGTTAGCGTGATTCCACCAACGTCTGAAGAGCGCCAGAAGCCACTTTCCTCACAGCTTCGTGCCGCAAGCGGTTCGCCAACCGCAACGTATGGTAAAAGGTTCCTAGATCTTAACATAGGCTTACGTAGGTCATTTCGATGGGTTTTCCTTGTGGCAGATGTAACTACCGGTATTATTGGCATGGATCTCATGCAACACTATCAGCTACTGGTTGATACTGGCAAACACAAATTGATCGATTCAGCTACAAACCTTTCGATCTCCGGTGTTGTGACGCACACACCTGCATTAAGCCCAGTATATTCAACCCCTGCCTCTAACGGCCCTTACGCTGAAGTTCTCCAGTCCTCTGCCAATCTGTTCAAACCGGTTTCTAAACTTCCTTGTTTGACTTCTACTGTCACTCATCATATCGTGACCACTGGTCCACCGGTATTTGCAAAGCCACGGCGATTGTCCCCAGAAAAACTACAAGCCATGAAGGCTGAATTCGAACACATGTGTTAGACATGGGGATAATCCGTCCAGCCAGCAGCCCGTGGTCTTCCCCTTTACATGTGGTGCCAAAGAATAACGGGATAGATTGGAGGCCTTGTGGTGACTACCGCAGGCTTAACGCACAGACCGTGCCAGATCGCTACCCCGTACCACATATACATGACCTTAGGTCGTCACTAAAGGGTGCCATGGTATTCAGCAAACTGGACTTAACGAGAGCCTATCATCAGATTCCAGTTCACCCAGACGATATTCCTAAAACGGCAGTGATCACCCCTTTTGGTCTTTTCGAATTCTTTCGAATGCCGTTCGGTCTCCGCAACGCCGCACAGACATTCCAGCCATTTATTCACGATGTTTTGCGCGGATTGGATTGTGCGTATGTTTATCTCGACGATATTCTCGTGGCTAGCCCAGATGAAGCTACCCACCGTACGCATTTACAGATGGTTTTTGAGTGGTTAACAACCCATGGTTTGACACTTAACATGTCTATATGCCAGATTGGCGTCCGTTCATTGACCTTCCTGGGACATGTCATTAATGAACAAGGAATTCGCCCGCTACCTGAGAAGGTGCAGGCAATACGCGACTTCCCGGAACCTACGTCAGTAAAATCTCTGCGCACATTTCTAGGCATGGTGAGTTATTACCAACGATTTGTTCGTCAATGTGCACATATTCTACAGGCACTCACAGCCCAACTAAAGAGTAAGAGCAAAACGTTCAGCATGACACCGGAGGCTCGAGAAGCGTTCCAGAATATTAAGTCGGCAATTGCAGACGCCACCATGCTAGTTCACCTAGACGTCCATCTTCCGCTTAGCATCTCAGTTGATGCATCTAACACAGCCATTGGAGCTGTTCTACAGCAACTGGTACATACCTCATGGATACCAGTCGCCTTTTTCTCTCGGAAGTTGTCCGCCGCTGAAGCGAGGTATAGCACTTTTGGCAGAGAACTCCTCGCCATATATGCGGCTATCAAACATTTTCGCCATTCTGTCGAAGGTCGGAAATTCACAGTATTTACCGATCACAAGCCCCTGAAGTACGCCCTCCACACTACTACAGGTAGATATTCTCCACGTGAATTGCGTCACTTGGACTATATCTCACAATTCACTTCGGACATTCGACATATTTCGGGAGTTGACAATGCTGTGGCGGACGCCTTGTCTAGGATATGTACCATGTCGGCGCCGCCAACCATTGACCTGAAACAAATGGCACAACATCAGCTTACAGAGTTAGATCTTGATAAGCTCTCGTCAAATACCTCCTTGCATATCAAGCCTATACCGCTTGTTAATAGCGAGGGTACCATCCTCTGCGATCTGTCCACCGGTACCCCGAGACCCATCGTTCCACCTTCATTGCGCCGTACGGTATTCGGTAGCCTCCACAACCTTCCCACCCAGGTATCCGGGCAACGGACAAACAAGTGTCAGCTAGATTTGTCTGGCCTGGTATCAATCGAGACGTGCGTATCTGGGCACGTGCCTGTATACCGTGTCAACGAGCTAAAGTCCACAAACACAACATCATTCCAGTGGGTTCCTTCTCCACACCCGATGCTCGCTTTAGTCACATACATCTAGATATAGTGGGTCCTCTACCACCATCAAATGGCCACTGTTACTTGTTGACATGTGTCGACCGGTTCACTCGTTGGCCAGAAGCTATTCCCATCTCCGATACGACCGCGGAAACCATTTGCCGAGTGTTCATGGAACGCTGGGTAGCTCAATTCGGATGCCCATCTTCGGTGACTACAGACCGTGGTCAGCAGTTTGAATCAACCCACTTCAAGAAGCTCTCAGAGCTGCCGGGGTGCAAACGCCTCCGAACAACCGCGTACCATCCAGCAGCAAATGGACTTGTAGAGCGTTTTCACCGCCAACTGAAAGCTTCGTTAATGGCTACCGAGAATACTAAGTGGACCGACTCCCTTCCCCTAGTGCTACTTAGAATCCGTTCCACGCTCAAAGCAGACTTACAGTGCACCTACGCAGAGTTGGTGTTTGGTACCACCCTTCGTCTACCGGGTGAAATTATCTCACCTGAAAGTGGTGAGCCAAGTGCTACGGATGTACATTGTTATGCTCAGAACCTCAAGCGCCTTATGCAGCGCCTGCAACCAACTCACATACGCACACAAAATAAGAGAGTGCAAGTAGATGCTAGACTCGATGACTGTACACACGTGTTTGTGCGTTGTGACGCCGTTCGTAGACCGTTACAACCTCCTTATGATGGACCATTCAAGGTCGTTAGTAGGAAGGAAAAATTTTTTGTTATTGATCGACTTGGCCGTCAAGACACCGTAAGTGTCGACAGACTTAAAGCGGCCTACATCGAAGAATCTGTACCCCTCACGCCTACACAACCAGCAACTACGCCCGCACCCACACCCCAGCCAAGTTCGATTGTCGAAAATCCTACTAAACCTAGCAGTTCTCCGGATGAGACAAGTGAAGCACAGGTTACACGCGCTGGTCGGCGTGTACACTGGCCTGAGCGATACTGTGAATTTGTTAACTAAACGCTTTTAATTACAAGAGTAGCTCATGCCCTCATGTCTTTTCTCAGGTTACATTCATTTTTCATGAAATTTACTCTTTTGGGTTTCGTTTGTGGGCAGTAGCCACTTTTTCAGTTACTAATCCTGTTAGATTTCTTTCTCGTTACAGAGTGTTCTAACATTTTATTTTTGGCGTTGCACTCGAACCGCTAACTAGACCAGTCCATTCCATTGTCGTATGGTGGCTCCCCAACACTTGTGGAATTACAAACCAAACGAACAAAAATATAGACCAGATAAAAAATAATAAAATAAATAAAAAATATAATAAAATGTAAAAACAAAAACTTTCACTGTATAGTTAAACGGACCGTTAAATATTTTTGCATATAAATACGTCACTTCTATGCTGTACATTTTAATCCGCTCAATCTATTTTCACAGATTTTACTATTTTCACTCGGGTTATGCCATGATGAAACTTATTTATTTTGTGACCCATACTTGTAATTACTTTGCATCACTTTAATCATACAGCTCGCAACATTTTTTTAAGAAGATGTTGATTGCACTTACTCATAGCTATTGGTTATACACACAATTCACTGTACCTTGCATAAGTTTTCACAGCGCTAACAATTTCCATTGTTTTATTTCAATTTGGCGTACCACTCCCATGTTACACTAGTTCCTTCGCATTTATTCCGCTTCAGTTCTTGTTAACACCTTATGCTGATTTTTAAATCTTAACCTCTTCTTCTATTCTTTTCTGTTGCTTTTACTTTACTCCTCCTAATACACCGGTATATTGATTGCGTTTGGTGTTACTACTAGTTGTGGTTGATGCGGAAGGATGGAGCATTAGTGTAAGATGAAACTTAGACATAATGAGTCACCTTCCCGTTATAACAACCTGGGTAACGGAGGTAAACCATCAGACCTCCACATAATCCAGCCCGTAATAGTATGTCGTAAAAAGAAAATACTAAATAAACGGATATATAAAAACAAGATAAGTAAAAATAAACGAAGTTTAAAAAAAACAGACAACTCAGAAGCTCGAAATCGCACCAAGGCACCAGCGTTATTTCTTCTTATATTCCATCTTACACCACTGATCATGTACATAGTGCCTATAAATTGCCTTAATTTTTTTCCTTCATTCTTTCCTTTCACAATATTTATATATATTTCAAAAAAACTATTTTATTACTATCTTCACACTTTCTTGTTCATTCACTGTTATTGTACACACTCTTGCTACTTCTATATATGGAAGCTTGCTGTTATGCCACCAACCTTCTAAGGGGGGATAACCTGTAGTGTACATTGTACCTTCGAACTTTTGTTTGAATGAACTCAGCCTGACCTTTAACCCCACTTCCGCTTTGTATTCCTGAACCTCCTGTGCGGTTCCGGTTTCGCTCTCTCGCTGTGCTTTCACCTAGCACACTCTCCGAGCTTAAACCGCCTCACCTGCAGATAAGTGTGTACCTCTTATTTCTTATCAAATTCTATATCTCTTTTGTGTAAATACAATTCTGTTCCAGTCACACTTGCCATCTCAGGTCTTTTAACCTTGATTCCGTTCGTTAGTACTTGCACGTTAGGCAGAGTACGATTAGGGCCATAAGCGGTGAAGAAGTTTTGTAAGAGTGGTTATTGTTAGGTCGAAATTAACCCAAATTCAACTCTTACAGATTTATTACACTTAGATCCTGCATGATCCGAAGCAATGTAATAATATCAGAAAGCTAACGTTAAGAGATGAATAGCTTTATTGAAGCTCATCAATAAATCATCCATGGGATTGGACATTGGACGAAAGCCTCAAGGGCATTACCTGGTTGTCCTATAAAGTAAGGGTTAACATTTCTTGTTGCAACTGGCGGCGCGTATGTAAATTTGATTACTACTGTGAGGTTATTTGTTATTATAGTTGATGGCGTCCATCCAACTTCGCATGCAAAGTTTATCCTCAAAGCTCTTGAAAGAGGCTCAGAAGTTTGCTGACTATAACATCCGTTCATATTTTATACGAAAGATAAATAGAACTTTCGAAAAACTTGGTGAAATCAAGGACCAAGGTGTATTAGAAGCAGAATTGAGAAAAAATGAAGATTTGCTAGAAGTTTTACAGAGACAAACTACTCTTAGCAATATGTACAAAACTAAAAAAAGCGTGATTGAATGAAATTTCGAGAGTTGTCTTGCTTCAGTTCTTAATTGTATTTTATTTTAATAAATAATAGACGAATAAACTACCTTTTATGAATTGCTTACTAGCCCTACAACTTTAATCCCTGATATATTTTACAGCTTCACATCTTGAAGATGGATCTGAAGTCAAGTTTAACTAAATTCTTGTCAATGCACGTCAAGAACTCTAGTTACCAGTAAAAAGTATTTCCTTAAAGTGTTCATTTTTCTCAGGTTTGATGAAGAGATAATCACCTACTTGGAAAGTATTGTAGAAAGCTGTGATTATGATGAGCTTGACGAAGTAGAATTCCTCACTATGTGTGGTGCTTACATCCCTCAACTTATTGAGATACCCAAGTGAGCCGTTTTCATATTTAAGATGCGAATATTTGTTAGGTGTTTATTGTTAACTTTTGCCCCACTCAGTGTAAATCACTGACTAGTAATTTGTGGAACACTGAAAGGATATTTGTTGTATGTATAATCTCATTACCATACTAGATCATAGTTAATTCCGTGAGCTACTTAATTACAGTCCATCCTGTCCAATCTTACTCCCTGAGTGTTCAGAAATAGCTCTTGAAACAACTTTATGTGATTAATTTGTAATTATATTCTAGTTATCATCATGACGGAGCTCTAAAATTAGTCCTCAGTTTTTGAAAACGCGTTGCAAAAATTACTAAGCATAAGTCCAAGAGTATCAACAGTTCAGTATGTGTAAAGATTTTGAAAGTGAGTTTAACTTCACTGCAGAATTTGACACAGTTACGCTACTAGTGAAACCCAGAAAACTCAAAAGGTATTCGGTCGAATGAAACAAAAATAAACAAGACGGAAGGCTGACGATAATTTTTTAATTCTCTAAGCTTTAAAAAATATGCTTGTAGCCGGTTCTTCTGGTCATGTTGCGAATTGTGGGGTTCTTAATTATTACTACTACCTGGGTAGTCCATTGTTAGTCCACGAGTTTTGTCGCGGGGTGTTATTAAAGTTCTCATGTTGTTTACGAAGGAATTTTGTTCAGAACATCTTTTCCTAGACGAAGTGAACTTCCAACTGTCTGGTTTTGTCCGTTGCTTCCAGTGTGTTGTTTCAAAAGATTTCTCTCTATACGATCGAGAGCCTAAACTGCTGTCGATAATCTGGTCAACAGTCACTGATTTCACAGATCTACCTAGTACACTTTGGCGACCAGGCACTTTCAAGGGTGAATATTCCCATCGCTGTAGAAACTGCTTGTTTTGCTGAGAATACTGCTGTATCATATGAAGAATGCTGTCGAAATATCTGTGTTGATGTATTTCTTCTTCATTGGCCATATATTACAGCTGTCGAGCAAAACATATTACACACCTTTATCTTATCCATCCTATTTGGAGACGAAGTTGTGTATCTTCAGTTGTAGATAATGCAGTCTATTGAATACTGTGTGAGTCTGTCATATTCTCGTAACTAATCCATTAAAATCGATGCAGCTTCCGAAATAATTAAGCTATGGAGTCTTACTTACTTACTTCATCACCTTGCTATAAATGTAGTATCAATCAAGATAAGTTCTGTAACAGCATTTTAAGCTTAACAAATGCAGAATTCTTAGGAAGACTAGTTCATTCAACAAAGCACAGTACTTCATAAAGTCTCTAAAGCGGTTTTTGACAGATAGTATTCTTTCTAGAAATAAGTCGACAGGGCATAATGCTGTGTTTCCTCCATAATGGTTAAGATTTTATTTTGATAAATCAGTTAAACACATATCAAGTAACTTGATATGATTATGAGCAATAGTTTGTGCTCGAAACGTCATCAGTTAATATAACTGTACAACACTGTGTGATTTATCAAAATAAAATCTTAACCATTATGGAGTTATACTCTACCACAGTGCCCAAGTTTTATGCTATGTTTCCATTTAGATTAGGTGCTGCAGTAAGATTTCGAGATACATAAGATTGTTATCTGGAATGCAGCTGAATATTTGGCATCGTCTTATCCTAGGGAGTTGTTACCATCCATGCACTAACGAGAACTAATCATCAAACGTTTTAATACCAATAAGTTGACTGTGATAGCCACACTTGGACCATTTTTGATGAATTTCGAGAACAACATACATCCAATGATGGGAATTAGCAAGCTTTAAATACTGAGGCTTCTTGTCTGACTTCGAGTAGGGTTTAAATATTTCACCTACGACGTGAAAGTTGGCAGAGTGGCTTCAGTTCAATAAAAATCGTATAAAGTTACATTGGTGATCGCAGAGTAAGCAGTCAAAGGAAGTTTGAGGTGTATTATCTAGATAACTAAAAGGGTTGGCTGTGAATCATTGAAAAAACTGTGTTTTGACAGTAGTAACTTATTTTTCAACTTCCCACATCATAAAGGTATATATATATATATATATTTACGAGTTGATCACGGATTGATATCAGTTAGAGAATCATCGGCGGTACGCACCCACTGGGATTCAAAACAGCTGCCCAGTACTCCCTGATTTTCAATGGTTCTCTAACTGATATCAATCCGTGATCAACTCGTAAAAAAAAATCTAATCCTTACAAACCAACTGTTGAAAGTATATTTATATTTATTCTAGAAGTTCTCTAAAAAAATAGACTGCTTTAGCATGACCTCAGAACTTGGGAGACGCTTACTTGAGATCAGGTACACGTGACGTTGTAGAGAGAGTTCTTTTCCTAACGGAAGCTATATGGCAAGGTGGCATAGTCTTCATAACATACCATTTCTAATCCTTCTCTCGTTCAGCTGGAAGATTAACCTTCTGAGAAAAATACTTTACTTTTTTTTCATCCTTTTTTAGTCATCACAGCATAAGTTATTTGCAGTGACATAGTGTGTGCTGTTAGTCTCATCTTGAGTAATAACCATTCCAGTCTCTGCAAATAGTTATACATGACAATTGAGAATTCTATGTAGAGTATTGTACTAGATATTTCAGTGGAATAGAAAGGTGACTAAATGCTTACTTACTAGTTATTATTAGATTATTTAAAAAAAAATAGTTTATACATATGTACGTATTCGACTCAGATTGACTGGTGTTTTCAACCAGATGGGGCATGAAAAGCCCTAATTCCAAATCTATACTGAAAGGATCGAGTGGCGTGTGATGAACCTGTTTTAGATTTCAGATTCAGATATAGGCTTGGAGACTATGTTAATCCTTTTCTAGTAAATTTCTGTGGTTGTCCAAACCCTTCTTGAATGAATCAGTTGAGGTTGCAGACACCACTTGTTCTGGGAATCGGTTCCAAGAGTTTAGGACTCGGTGTGAGAACCAGTACGCAACAACAATATGATTTCTGCTTGGCTTTTGAACTCACCTGCTATGTCCTCTAAGGTGTCTCGACCTGGTGGGAAGGAAAAGAGAGAATAGGTCAGGTCCGTAGTCATCATTTAAAATTTTAAACATTCTGATTAAATCTCGTGTCTGCCTACGGTATGACAGGGAGAAGAGATTTAAACTGTCTAGTCTTTCCTCGTTTGATAAATTAGTCATTCCGAGAACCATACGTGTTACCTTCCTTTGAACCCTTTCTAGAATGTGTGAGTCCCCTTTTAGACAAGGGCTGGCGGTCTGAATGCAGTTTTCCAGTCTTGACCTCACCACAGATGTATATAAGGAGGTGAACATATCTCTGGTGATTCTAGTAAAGGCTCTGCGAATTGCCCATAAGGACCTGAAACTACGTGCACCCACTGCTCGACAGTGTGCTGTAGTTTTCTAAATCGTGGCTAATTATGACACCTAAATCCAATTGAGTCTGAACTGATGGAAGCGTTATTCCCTCTAGTTCGTAGGAGCTGATACTTGCTTGTCCGATGCGCATGGTTACACATTTTGCCACATTTATCGGGAGCATCCATTCTATGGACCACTGACAATTTGTTGAGGTCCTCTTGCACCGTGGACGTATAACTGTTGCCCTTCAGCTCTCTCCAAATTTTTAAGTCATCTACGTATAGGACCATAGGGGAGTCGGTGAGCAGAGATTACTCATTTATAATAATACAAAATAAATAGGAGAGGTCCGAGTACCATGCCTTTTGGCACTCCGCTACGCACTACTGTCCAAGAGGAGAGTTTCGAGTTGATCCTGACCCTCTGCCTCTTATCTATGAGGAATTCACTAATCCAGTTTAGTAATCTGCCTTTGATACCAAGACTTTCCAACTTCATGAGTAGTCTTTTGGGAAGTACTTGGTCGCTGGAAACCATGGGAACATAGCTCTTGATGCCTCTCCACTGCCAATGGCTTGAGGATCAGACTTCAAGTCAATGGCTCAAAGGCGGTGACCTGTTAAGACAGTCAATCACGTGCTTCTCTCTTGGCGTTATGGTATTATCCCAGCCCTTGTGTAGCGTATCTCTTGGTGTGTACCCATAATGTGTTTTAATAACAATGATTTACTTATGAACTAATTCACTTCCATGTTTTAAAACAAAAGAAAACAAAACGAGTCAACTTCATAATATTTATTGTCCTTTGTTCTTTTGTCTAGGGAAATATTCTTAGAATGGTTTTCTTCAGTCAGTGATTCAATCAAAAGTAAGTCACAAGCACATGGTACCGGTAATTCGGATCATCAAAATACTCCAATTTCATCAAATAATTCTAAGGAGATAAAGAAGAATTACGAACTGAAAGGTAAGGTATTGAGTATATGTATATATATACCACAGTTGGGCTGATCTACACACAGGTGTGTAACTCGTTGCGTTACTTATTCGACTTTCAAACGGTAGATTGTCAGATAAAGCCTAGGACTACCTTCAAGGTTGCAGATACGCTTTGCTAGCTGGTGGGTGCCAACTAGCACGAAACCTAGGTGGCCGAAGGCTTCCTATGGCCGATTACCCCCAACGTTCTAATATAAACTATTCACATTGCACTGTAGTGGTAGGTAATTCCTCAGAACTATTGGCCACAGCACTCATCAATGAACATTAGGTGCTAACCCTCACTGTTTTAGTCAATTTATTCGGCTGAAGGATTCCTTCCGGTAAAACACCCATGCCATTTGGCAGGCCGTCGTGTAATTTTCGTTCATTTGGTGCACGATCCTTAGCTCGTTAAGCAATCATATGGCAATAAAGGTTAAAAAAGCACCATTTAATGAATACATCAAATTTCGATAGAACTCTTCCTCAGCTGAATACTCTACATACACGGATATATATACTTTTGAAATTACATTGGGAAATATAAGACTGATAAGCGAGCAAATAAACTACACTGAATTAGTCATGCAGAAAGACAGGTACAAATCTTTTCCAGGTCATGTTCAATTAGATAAAGGGAGAGAGAGTTTGGGAGATCAAAACTAAGATAAATTGCATTACGCTTCAATTACATCACTTAGATAAACAATTAGACATTAGAGAATATAACAAGAATCGCAAACAGAGTAATATCAATAGTAGTAGTTGTAATAGCAAAAATAATAATCATAATAATAGTGTTGAAGTGAGTTAAGATAATCCTACTGATAAAGGATAGTTTTAAATGAATCAAGAATAATAATAATAGGTAGAATAATAAGTAAAACGTATTACCATGGTAGATTCAGAGTCACAACCATATCCTTTTGCACACAGAGACCTGGTTTATAAACTCGAATTGCACAAGCCTCCTCTGCACTTGCAAGCATCTTCTTGTTTCTTTGTCTGCTGACAATAGTGATTGACTTGACCGCGTCGATATCATGTCCGTAATCCACAAGATGTTTTGTTATTGAGGATTTTGGCACTCTGCACTCAGCTGTTTTCAAACATTTTGGCAAATGCTCCATCATGCGAGTAGACAGTCGCCTTTCCGTACCTATGTCCTGTGTATTTGCTTCCACAAACACACTCAAATTGATATACGCAGTTTGAAGTGTCGAGGATTGGCGACTGGTCTTTCCCAGATTGTTGGAGCACTCGCTTAGTGGTGTTAAGAAAAAAACAAGTTTTGCAGCATAATAAGTTCTCTTGATGGCTTTGTCAAGTCTTCGTTTGACTACTTCCTGTACATCATCTCCTTTGAACGGCCAACTGATATAGACAGGTTTCTTCGGAACTGTTTGGATTGTTTTGCAGGGCCTATTTTCTGTAGAGTATTTATTAATGAACTTCTCAGGATATCCATTCTTAGATAAAATATCCTTCAGAGATTTTATTTCATGCTCAACAGTACTGTCAGAACAAATTTTTCGTGCTCTACTGAACAGTGTTCTGACTAGGTTCTTTTTCTACTGGATTAGAACAAAGCTCTTGAAATGCAGCGAAAAGTGGCCCCAAAGGGCTTCCAATTGCGACACCATCAACTTGACCGAATAGACGCCTGTCGAATTGGAATTGGACATTTTTAGTACATAAAAGTAGCAATTTCCTCAATTCCGATATTGGAATGGGTATGTCTTCAGCTTCTTTACATATGAAGTCGATAGTCTCAACGACTGGCACATTTGTGAAGAGGGAGGTAACATCGAAAGAGACCAAATGTTTATCAGATACATTGAAATCTTTGATTTGCTTGACAAACTGAAATGAATCAGAAACTATATACGTTCCGAAGCGTTTCCGTAAGGGCTGCAACAGTTCACATAGCCACTGTGCTAATTTGTGGTATGGTGAGTTTATCATCAAGAGTATGGGTCTTAACGGTGCTCCTGGTTTGTGTATTTTAACACGTTCGTATAGTTTTGGGATTTGTGACCCAATCGGTTTGATATTTCTATGTGTGTTTTCACCAATGTATTTCTTTTTGAAGAGTTGCCGTAGATGCTGCACAATTTTCCTATCGGTCGACAACGTTTGATCTTTTGCATGATTATCCAATTTGAATTTAGATTCATCAGAGAGAATTTGATGCATTTTTTCCAGATAATCTATCTTATTCATTAGCACTACGCTTTATCCTTTATCAGCTTGTACAATAACAAGATTATTGTCTTTTCGGAGCTTGTTTAGTGATCTCCAGTGTTCTTTGGTGATATGCGACTTTTGATTGGTAGGCATGATTCGAAATTGGTGAGCAATATCAACCATCTTTGCTTTCAACCAGCTTTCGCTGTCGTTGGACGTAGCATGTAGCCCCATAAGTTGGTCATAAAGAATTTCGAATTGGCATTCGATGTCAATTTGCTTTATCTTTTTCATGGGAACATAGAAGTTGAATCCCAATGACAAAATTTCTGCTTGTTCTTTTGATAGGGAAACATCAGATAAATTGTGAACATAATTAGATATATCCACTGGGAAAATTTCATTTGCCGGTTCCGGATAAAGTGACTTCTTCAGTTTCTTTTCTTCTGATACTTTTGTCTTTTTAGAAGTGGCATGTAGATATTTAGTGAATTTAAGATAACATACGAAGTTTAAGTCATTTTGTACACCGATCAGTTTGCTTGATAATACGCATAACTTACTAATTTCATCTGTTTCAGAAGACAAATGTGATTCAGCAAGACGGTAAAGATTTAGCCGTGTAGGTCTCAAATGATCTTTACGCAAGGATTTGTAAAATGTCCGAGGATAAATATTAGTCTGGATACATTCCTTCAAAAAATCTCGTCGCGCAGAGTGTTTAGCAATCCTACACCTCAATTTCACTAGATCATTTAGTGCATTGATAGTGCTTTCCGGGAGACGCTTCTTCAGGAATTGAAAACATTCATTCAAGATTATTCATGAATGTTTTGTACATTAAAAATTATATAATGATATAACCTGCTTAACAGATGAAATCAGTTATTTTTCTATTACAGACCAAAATACTGACCGAATTTGTGAACACTGTTGTACAAATTGCAGGCAAATCGATGCGGATGAATCTGTTAAAACATTAGCTTCAATCCTACCTGATGTGAGTATTTAGTATTTATTATTATCATTATCTTGGTTATTATTTTTTTATTGATGGTGGGTGATGGGAGGTCTGGGTCAGATTCGTGATGGATGCATTCCTAAACCTCTCCTAGTCTTCCTGCGGATAATAAGCTCAGAAAAGAGAAAAGATTAGGGGTGTGAGTCTGACAACCCCATCGCTACTGAGAACTTCAAAGCTTAATTCCTTATGTTCCGCTGAGAACGCAAATGAATGAAAATAAAAACCATTTTTGTTATTATTTGATTGATGCTAACAGACTAGCAGGCGAAACTCATGATGCATGTTTCGTCCTATTTAGGCGTCTTCAACTAGATCCACCCGTTTATCCCCAGTGTGAATGAACTGTGTTCCCAGTGAGACTCGAACCTGGGATCTGTAGTCTCAGATGCTAAAATGTTGTGCATGACTAGGGGATGAATAAATAGTGTCATATTCATCTTCAGATATTATTGAAGCATGTGTACTGTGAGCGCTGTTACGTGAACAATGAGATGGAGTATTTCGGGCTTCATTGACTTCGATAAGACTTTTGACAGACAGCGTTGACTGAGAAGTAATTTGGAGACTGCTTCAGCACTGACTTCACATTGGAGCTGAAAATTCACATCTTAATTTTCATGCTGAGTGTTGAGTAGTGCTGAATGTTGGTCTCCACACAGACTTGAGAGAAATGAAACCTTGTCTTGCTTTCTCGATCTTCGCTTCGATATCCTCATCAGTTCCGTCCGCCTGTAGTTGAAACGATGCTTCCCAGGTTGGTAGGTGAAAGAGGTTGCTTCTTTCAGATTTTTCCCAATTATGGTGATTGTTGTATGCCGTTGTTACTGTTACTGTTGGCCAGAAATCTTCATCACCTACCTCTGTTTTCTCTATGTTCACCTGAAGTGAAGTCCTATCTTTGATGCTTCTTCTCTCTCCAACTTGTTGCTTTTCACTTGCACATCTAGTTTGTGGGAAATCAGACATATATCATCGACAAAGTCCAGATCCTCCAATTTTTTTTTGTGGGTCCATTTTATGCCTGTTTCCTCACTGCCCGCTGTCTGTCACATTATCCAGTCTACCGAAGTCAGGAAAATCATTGGAGATAGTAGGACAACCTTGTCTTACTTCCGTTCTCACGTCGAAGGATTCCGTGAATTTCCTGTTGTGGATTACTTGGCACTCAGCATTATCGTATAACTGCTGGATGAGGTGTATAATTGTTGGCGGCACCCCATAGTAGCGAAGTAGTTTCCAAATCATTTCTCGATCGATGCTGTCGAAGGCCTTTTCAAAGTCACTGAAGTTGAGGCAGAGGTAGAGAGCTGACTGCTACTCCAAGCTCTGTTCAATGATGATACATAGTGTTGCGATTTGATCGATACATGACTTGTTTCTCTTGAATCCAGCCTGTTTCAGTCGAAGTTTTTCACCCAGGTTGGTGTTTTTGATTCTCTCCAGGATGATGCGGCTTAGTATTTTGCTTGGGATAGACAGCAGCACAACGCCCCGCCAATCCTTGCATCGATGTAGAAGCTATTGTTTATTTCGAATCCAATTTTGATTTTGCCAATCCCAATGTCCACTGGAACGATGGTCACTGGGGTTAAGGTTCACTGGGAACATTATCACTGACTAAGGAGGAATGCAAGTACATCCAGCTGGTGACGAGTCGCAAATAGGACGAAATGCACATCTTGTGTAGTAATAGTCCACTGCTAGTCACAATCTACCAAGTTATTCCAAGTGAACCCTTAGACACTGTTGAAGCATCCGTACTTGGAGGCAACGAGTTAACAGAAGCTGAACATTTTAGTTCAGTCAGTTGGCGGGAAAATCAAAAAATTATTATTATTATTGTTCCCTTGGGTTCCTATTGGAACATAGGGCTTCAACTGCACGTCTCCACTTGTTTCTCTCTTCTGCTGTACTTTTCACCTGCATCCATATTAGTCCATACTGTTTCATCCCCTCTTCACACGATCTCCTCCATGTCACCCTTGGTTGTCCCACTAGCCGCTTCCCTTTCGGGTTCCACTCGAGCTATGGCCTGACGCGTGATGTCACCCAGTGGCCTCCTCAGCGAGTGTCCAATCCATCTCCACTTTCTCCTGCATATTTGTCGGGTGGCGATTGGTTCTTGTTTTGTTTGTTCCCATAGTTTCTTGTTGGTTCTTGTTCTTTCCGGCCATCTGATCTTGAGTATAGAGCGAAGACAGTTGTTGATGAAGGTCTGCAACAGGCTGTTGGAAATATTCTTTGTGACCCGCCAAGTTTCTGAACCGTATAGAAGAACTGACTGACTTGACGTTTGTATTGAAAATCCGAATCACTTTGTTGTTGATGCTGAGTTGAGTGAAGAAGATTTCCAGATTGGTTTCAGGTTGATGAATGTGTTTCTTGCCTTCCCGATTCTCGATTTGACAAACAAATATTAACGGATGCCAGTTTCACAAGAGGTGGTTCAAGTGGTCTAGTAACTAACGCTTTGGTGTCGTAAATGATTGGTACCTTGGTTCGAGTACCAGTAGGAACATTATCACCCAGTGGGGATTGTAGGTACATCGAAATGATGAGTCCTAGACAGGACGAAATGCTAGTCACTATCCACTAGATTACTTCAACATAGAAGACAGCTGAAATTTTCATTATTCAGACCGATTCAGCTTATTGGCTTGAGCATTTGACTTCCCACCACCAATAGGCCCCGAGTTCGAATCAGATTAGCTCTCAAGAGTTTCTTTGTAGGGATTTGATTTGTCTCCAGTTGCATCACGCGTTGATGTTGGTTAGAAAGAATCATTAGGTACCAGAGAGGATTGGCTGGCTGTTTCGTACTAGCCCCACCGCCAGGAATCGAACCCAGGTTACAAGGCCGAGTTCGTTGACCATTCACAGCGAGATTGGAAGCTGTGTGTTCTATGCACACGTACGTATATGCTTCATTTTCCCACTTATTTTTCCATCCTCCTTTTCTCTCTTCTTAAGGCTTGCCGAAATATTCTCAAGGATTGTTTACAAACAACTAATAACAATGTCGATGAAGCAGTTCTACTCGCATTGAATCGGATCACACTGAATAGTAATAGTAATAATAACAGTGATAACACAACTGGTAAAGAATTGAATACTTCAAAAAGAAATAAAACCATAGTCACCGCCTCAAAGTCATCACCGTCAACAACCACAACAACAACAACAGCTGATATCGATGAGAAACTTGATGAAAAGGCGAAATCTTTAGTTCTTGATCGTTATGACTTCGTATCAGAAATTGGTGGTGGTGGTGGTGGTGGTCAGCTGGCAAAACCAAAATTACCAAGTGTATGTTTTGTTTATTGTTTAACTAGTGTTTCATCCTAAAATATGTGTGTAAAACTTGGCCACTGTGATAGTAAGTAATTCCGTATCAGTTTGTTTATTAGATGGATATATCACATACAGTCAGTGAAACAGTATTATTATATACTGGATGTGAGAAGGTTTCGAACAAAATTTATATTATTTATTGTTCATATTCATATCGCCAGTTATAATCACACGACTTTGAAATTTAAGTTTGTTTTTATAGTTTTCCTCATTCCTTCCTATTCGTCGTCCTAGGGGTAGTAGAATTTTCCAGATGTGAGGGTGGGTGGACAACTGTTGAATCATTTGTATTACACGTACTCTCTTCAGTTGATTCGATAAATAAAGCTTCTGTTATCAATCAATCTCTCCCTTCATCCTGTTATATTAGATTAGATTTTAGAACTATCATTTTATCCCATCATCCTGTTGTATGGTTGGTTGTGTGTTGGTTGTGCATTTGCATGTAGTGAGTGCTATAGCTGAACTAACTATTCTCCAGATTTCTTATCTTACTCGGGTCCGTTATCTTGACCGATATTTGGATTTCCGATGATTTTACCTCACGTCAGTAAAAAATAGGATTGGTGAAATGTCTAGGTAATAGAGCAAAAAGAAACTAAATGGTACCAAGGGAAATCTAAGACAGAAAGTGAGGCATATGAGAGAAGCTTTAAAACTTAATAACTACCCTGATAAATTAATAAGGAAGTATGTAGGGAAATGTAAAAATAAGATAAGTAATGATAGTAGTGATAGTGATAATAATAATAATAGTAATATCAATGACGACATGGATGTCAAACATGCACAGAATGATGACAACACCAACAAAAAAGGAATCTAAATCATCAGTAGTAAGTCCATAGAAGGAAGGAACCTCGGAAACCCTACGGCGGAGAATTCTTAACAATGCAGGCAGGAATAAAAGTGGCTGGCATTCAAACTGCCCACAAACTCAATTAGAAATAAGCTTTTTCGATTAAAGGATCAATCCTGTGGAGCCAATTTAATGAAACAATTTAGTTTATCTAATACCCTGCTGCTTGAATGATTGTGTCAGGTCAAATGCATAGGTCAAAGTAGGAGAATAGTGTCAGTCAATCAGTCAGACTAGCGAAGCACAAAAAACCTTGCAGCAAAATCTAGATTAGTTCACCCTAATGAAATAAGAAACCTGGAGAATAGTTAGTTCAGCTACAGCACTCACAACATGTAATTACACACACACAACCAACAATGCAATAGGATGATGGGATAAGATGACAGTTCGTTCTAAAATCTAATCTAATGAAATAGGGTGGAGGGGCAGACTGATAACAGAACAGAAGCGTTATTTATCGAGTCAACTGAAGAGAATACGTGTAATATGAATGATTCGACACCTGTCTCCTTCTTCTATATGGGTGAGAAACTTGGCCAGCGTGTCACAGAAGCATTTCCAACAGGTCAGTGCAGACTTTTATCAATAGGTGCATCCGCTCCATATTGAGGGTCAAATGGCCGGCCAGTAAGAATTAGCCAGAAGAAATAGCTCTTCAGTGGAACGATCCGAGATGGATTGATCGGGTATACACGCCAGTGAGGAGGAGGAGGCTGTCGGTCGAATGACATCAAGCTCAATCAATACAGGCTATCACCCAATTGGAATCCGAACGGGAAGCGACCACTGGGTGGTGAGTGCGAGGGTGACATGGAGATGGTGTGTTGGAGAGAAGGAGTAGGAGATGAGATGTTATGGGCGATCTGCGGGTTAGCCAGATGAAGTGGACAGTGAATATGTGTTGTTGAAGCCCTATGTTCCACTCGGCACCCAAGGGAATAATATATATATATATATCTTGTGAGGAACACCCTCGCTGTGTAAAGGCAGTGAACACAACTTAGCAACTAATCTATCTCGGATTCAAATCACACTCTGTCTGCATCGATTTGAATAACTGGCTACCATCATAAACCTCTTTGCGCACACATTAGGTACGTAATCATAAGTAAGTAAATCCTGTATTGACTATTTGCTTTATTAATCTATTTTCTGATTTTAATTTATTGACTTGGAATAATTACATAATTAATTCAATAGAATGATTTATTGTTTATCGATCAGTTTAAAGAATAAATTCGAATTACAAATTCAAGTAAGATAGGGAAATATTGAAGACTTCAATAAGTTGAATATATTTATCCAGAACCGGAATTCGAAATTTTGAAATTACACATTTTCAGGTGGGAAAATTCACTGCGGTTTCCTTTTTCAAAACCAAAATTATTGTCATCGCAGTATACGATCTGCTTGATACCTACGTACCACCTTCAGCTCTCTAAGTTGACTCTCCAGTCTGGCGACCTCACCTCCACCACCTCATGATGGTCAGACTTGGATACCGCAGTGACCCCAACAAGCTACACTGGCTGGGACTTATGTTCTTGCATGTCCTACCATGTCACGAAGGTTGTTTAGATAGCGATTAGACTGAAAGCAGTTACTATTAGGTAGGTATATGGGCTCCAAAATCCAATCGGATCAAATAGCGTATGAACCTGTATAGGTCAGCAGCAACCATGGAAACGTAGCTCCTGACGCTGCCTTGTGGATTAGACTCCAAGTCAAAGGCTTAGGTGTTGGTCCCTTAGGATAAGCACCTGCTGCGGTCTAAACTCCCGGGCAATATCTCAGCTATCACACAATCACAATCAACAATCGAAGTTGAATCTGCCTCGGTACACCACTGATCAGCTTGATCCTAAGTGAGCGAAACAACTGTCTGGTGTGAGTGGAGTTCCCCACCACTCATATCAGTTAATTAGTAGCATATGCCTCCATGTGTTGATTACCTGTTCGATTATTCACATTCTGAACGTAAAGAAGTAGTTCTGCAACACTATCCTACACCTATATTCGGAAATCAATAATCTTGAATCAGGTTCTAATTAATTATATAAATGAAATGGTACTGACTGACTGACTGACTGGTTTCAAAGTAGAACTTTGCACGGGTGTGCAGCACTTCGAGTCGCCACACTCTCTCCTTGTAGTACACAAAGCAAGAGAAGAAAGTAGAGAGAGACAGATAATAAACAAGTGTGAGGCGAATAGAATAGTAACATGGAGGAACAGTAGAGTTTTATTGGATATTATAAATCACAAAGTGTGAATGCATCTGCGCCGTCTGAGCCATATCACCAATTGTCTCTAGCCTTCGTTGGTTTTTACCATCTCGAGGACGCCAACGAGTCAGTCGGGAAGTCCTACACCTCCCTACGTGACTGGCTGTCTGGTTGGCTTAAACTAACCGTTGTGGATTTCATGGACTGATATCAAGTTTTGTTTTGACCAAGCAGCATTAGCTCTTTTCCAACCTGATCAATCTTATGACAGTCAGATAATATTGTTCGTCGAGGATGGCGATGCTTAAGCTGGGCATGCGTAAAACATGTCCTAACCATCTCCCTTAATCGGTGATTGATTTCCCTTCCCACTGACCTAGAACTCGACCAACACCTAACCTCAATAATACTCACCTCCTTATACCACCTAACACATGGGAGACAGAACACAGACACCTATGATAAGAGATAAATAGCCAGGTTTTTCATTTCTCCCATTTTCAATGGTCATGTCTCACAGTCATAAAGGAGAAGAGAGTGAGCTGTTGCTGTTGCTGTGCTGTGCAGTACACACGCCTGTGGGTCGACAGCCAGCAAACCGGATATCACGTCTACTAAGCCAGAGATGGTGTAAGTTGGCATATGCCCAAGGAGGCTTCTGTATCCGTGGCTGAAATTTCACCAGTAAGCGGAATCTGAATGGGAAACAAAGTTGGGCGTAAGTTTGAAAGTGACAAGCGGAGGTTCTGTGAGGAGGAGATGAGAGCTTATGAAGAGTCGTTAGGCCAGCGTAAGACGACTGCAGAGAACAGGATAGCATGGGGATGTGCTATTGAAGCCCTATGTTCTACTCGGAACCTAAGAGAACAATAATAACAATGCAAACAATAGTGGGTGTTCTTCAATCCACAGATTAATTGTGCCAGAATTACACTGAGTAATCACTATTATTATTATTCCCTTGGGTTCCGAGTGGGGAACATAGGACTTCAACAACACAACTCCACCTCATTCTATTTCCCGCTGTCTTCTTCTCTTCAGTTGGCTAGGCCCACGATTACTGCCCATAATCTCTCATCTCCCAATCTCTCACTCTCTGCTGTGATTGGTTGTTGAGTTCCTCAAGGTTGGGCTTTGTTATCTCGTTGTTTATCTCGTGACCCCCATTCGGGACGTAAACATTAACATGAATTAGTGTCTACAATATTCGCTAGCAGACAGCTCTCACCACACTCTATTATATTTTTATGCTTATTATAATTGAACACAATTTTACACATATCTCTGATCAAAATGGGATACATGTGAAGAGGAGGAGCAGAAGCAGAAGGAAAAGAAGAAGGCGAAGACGGAGAAGAAGAAGCGGAAGTGTCATGAAACATCCATTGATAAACGGCCATTCTAATGTCAACACTGTCTGTCTATCTGATATGATGAGTGCTCAACGGTTTCGAAAGATGAACAGGAGGACAACGAAGGAAGGAAGGAAATGGTACATAGAAAGTCATGTATCTCCCCTCCTGATGAGGTCGGCTTGATCACATGTGAGACTTTCTACGAAGCCCTGGTACTTTCGCTTCAGCGAATTTAAGCATACTGATCACTTCACTTTCTCCTTAGTCATTTGGAATGCCGCGTCAAACTGGGGCTTGTATAATAAATATAATTTAGGACAAGTTATGCCGAGAACAAACGCTATGGTTATCAGGGTAAGCAAATTAAACCAAGCACCTACTACCTACCGAAAGTAGGTAGGTATAAAGACACAAGGAACTTTGCAGTCTCATAGTAATCTTGCAACCACATTACGCGACGTAAATAATTCAACTTTTCGGACAATCTTTCACACAAAGCTGGGACACGCTCGGCAATTTTTTCTTGAGGTGGTAAAGTGATGTTCAATTCAAGCCAATACTTAAATGGGTGGTCTTTCGATGAATCCTGATTTGATTTGAATGGACGCGTAGCGTAATACCATTATAAAGCTTGCAAGCCGTAGTGCAGCACATTAACGAAATTCCGGCGTAAGCGATAAAAGAAATCAGGGACATACATGACAGACTCAAGAGGAATGTCAGCCCAACAGCTGATATATATATATATATATTGAATATTCTAGAATAATTGCCATTAACAGTATTGGTGTTCTTTAAACAATATCGATTTTTTAAGATCTCAATGGAATTACACGCAGTTCAAGTTCGACCGTTTGGTGTCTGGCGGCGTGTTCTTAACTGCAGTTCGATTATTTGTGTTGGTCTTCGCATTGTCGTAGCATAGATTCTGGTGGCCTCTGTGAATTTCTCCTGAAGGTACCTTTTACATTACAGTTGTTCACGTTATACAAACCGCAGAACGGTAATGGATTTCGTGAAAGAAATTGTTTGTTGGCATGACCCCATCAAGTCAGCCCAACAGCTGCAACAACACCCGACTTGATGGGTTCATGCCAACAAACAATTTCTTTCACGAAATCCATTACCGTTCTGCGGTTTGTATAACGTGAACAACTGTAATGTAAAAGGTACCTTCAGGAGAAATTCACAGAGGCCACCAGAATCTATGCTACGACAATGCGAAGACCAACACAAATAATCGAACTGCAGTTAAGAACACGCCGCCAGACACCAAACGGTCGAACTTGAACTGCGTGTAATTCCATTGAGATCTTAAAAAATCGATATTGTTTAAAGAACACCAATACTGTTAATGGCAATTATTCTAGAATATTCAATATATATATATATATCAGCTGTTGGGCTGACATTCCTCTTGAGTCTGTCATGTATGTCCCTGATTTCTTTTATCGCTTACGCCGGAATTTCGTTAATGTGCTGCACTACGGCTTGCAAGCTTTATAATGGTATTACGCTACGCGTCCATTCAAATCAAATCAGGATTCATCGAAAGACCACCCATTTAAGTATTGGCTTGAATTGAACATCACTTTACCACCTCAAGAAAAAATTGCCGAGCGTGTCCCAGCTTTGTGTGAAAGATTGTCCGAAAAGTTGAATTATTTACGTCGCGTAATGTGGTTGCAAGATTACTATGAGACTGCAAAGTTCCTTGTGTCTTTATACCTACCTACTTTCGGTAGGTAGTAGGTGCTTGGTTTAATTTGCTTACCCTGATAACCATAGCGTTTGTTCTCGGCATAACTTGTCCTAAATTATATTTATTATACAAGCCCCAGTTTGACGCGGCATTCCAAATGACTAAGGAGAAAGTGAAGTGATCAGTATGCTTAAATTCGCTGAAGCGAAAGTACCAGGGCTTCGTAGAAAGTCTCACATGTGATCAAGCCGACCTCATCAGGAGGGGAGATACATGACTTTCTATGTACCATTTCCTTCCTTCCTTCGTTGTCCTCCTGTTCATCTTTCGAAACCGTTGAGCACTCATCATATCAGATAGACAGACAGTGTTGACATTAGAATGGCCGTTTATCAATGGATGTTTCATGACACTTCCGCTTCTTCTTCTCCGTCTTCGCTTTCTTCAGCCTCTTCTTCATCTGCTCCTCCTCTTCACATGTATCCCATTTTGATCAGAGATATGTGTAAAATTGTGTTCAATTATAATAAGCATAAAAATATAATAGAGTGTGGTGAGAGCTGTCTGCTAGCGAATATTGTAGACACTAATTCATGTTAATGTTTACGTCCCGAATGGGGGTCACGAGATAAACAACGAGATAACAAAGCCCAACCTTGAGGAACTCAACAACCAATCACAGCAGAGAGTGAGAGATTGGGAGATGAGAGATTATGGGCAGTAATCGTGGGCCTAGCCAACTGAAGAGAAGAAGGCAGCGGGAAATAGAATGAGGTGGAGTTGTGTTGTTGAAGTCCTATGTTCCCCACTCGGAACCCAAGGGAATAATAATAATAGTGATTACTCAGTGTAATTCTGGCACAATTAATCTGTGGATTGAAGAACACCTACTATTGTTTTCATTGTTATTATAGTTCAAGATATAATAGAGAAGATTTGTAGCTCAGGTGGATGGTTTTGGTGTGGTTGTGTTCTCTTAGCTGGATGGT